AGAGTGCCCCCACACACAAACAACTAGGGCCAGAACCACCGTACGTTCAGCATACACCCAAAGAAAATGTGCTCAACATAGTGCTGGCACGTCTGCTCTCGTAATACCCACAATGATCAAGACATGGGTACCAAGGGGTCTACTGATAGATGAATAAAGAGAAGCTCCCTGTCCCCCACCCCGCCACACACACACACATGCAATGAGGTAATAGTCAGAGACAAGAATGAATTGCTGACATCTGTGTCAAAATGGATAGAATTGGAAGACACTTTCTTCAGTGAACTATCCAGGCATGGAAAGACAAACAAGGCATGCTATCAGTCATCATGGAGGCAAAAAGCTTCATAAAACAGACTACAGGTCATTAGGGATTAGGAGGAAAGTGGTATATACACAGGAACATACCTATATTGGTCTATTCAATAAAGAGACGTCATGACTTCCTGTGTTTTATGCTGAAATGGGGTAACTGCTGCCTACAACTATTCATGGCATACTTTAAAATAACTAGAGGGCCTTGGTTCTTCCCAGTGCACGAATGATAAATGAGGGAATGGAGATGCGAAATCCTCCAACTTGATCATTACTCATCATGTGTACATGCATTAACTTACTGTACTGAATGCCGTAAACATGGACACATATGTAACAATTTAAAACATGTTAAGTTGGCAGTTTATCCTCAAATCATGGGCCCTTCTACCTGAAACACACTAGGAGGTAAATAAAAATAGAATATATTTTCAAACCTTTACAACTTCTTTGAACATTAATAAAATTAGGTATTTTACTGTTGTCTTCATTTTATAGAAAAAGACCTTGAAGTTCAGATGGCTCGGGAAACATACCAAGAATACTGGGTATGCCCGCTATCCCAGTGCTAAGGAGGCAGCAACAGGCGGATCTCTGGTCAGCCAGCCTAGTCTACTTGCTATAATCCATGCCAATGAGAGAATGTGTCTCAAAAAAAGGACAGTTTACATACTCAAAGATGCACATATATACAATATATACACATACAAAGAAATAAACACACCAAGGTCACACAGCCACAAAGAGGCAACATAAGACACAACTTCTAGACCACAGGGCTGGATTTTTCATTTTGGATACTATTGACATGGAGCCTGGATTGTCCTTTGTGTCCTAGGAGGTGGCATGTTATTTCAAGATTGCTCGGCAGCCATTTGATGGCAGTAGTAGGTTTTCTTTCTCCCCATGCTGTAACAATCAAGCGTCCCTGGGCTACTAGTTCCTTCAGGGGCCATGTCCCTGTTTTAGAACTCTACTTGAAGCCCCTATCTTCAAATACTATGTTTTCTGCCTTTTCCAGACAGGTCAAGGTCACCTCTGTTCAGTCACCCGAGCAAGCTCTTCTCCACGTGTGCACATCTGGACCACAGCCAACTTCAATTCTCTCTCATTTACCTTGGAAGGAAATGCCAGGTGCCCACAATCTGAAGTGACTTGGGATATGGATCCAAAGCTAAATGAATAAAAAAATAATGAATTGCCTTGCTCTCATTACCAGAAATCTGAGCTAGAACTGGATCCATGTGCTCAAGGCAGGGACTGTTGAGGGGAGGCTGGATGGGAAGACCTCAAGTTCTGAGTATTCACCGCTTCACTTAGAGCTAATCTGATGAAGAAATACAATGAGAATTGCAAAGTCATCAAAGATGATGGGCTTTTCTTTATGACCCTTGGCACCAGAACAGAGGGTCTATTTTTGTGGGTTTTTGAATTTCCAGAATAAAGAGAGTAAGAATGTTTAGGTAATGTTTGGATGGTTTGGAGACTGTTCTTACATTAGTGATAGGTCAATTAATATCAGAACAGTTCAAAGAAGCAATTATTTTAATTTATAAATCACTTCAGAGGTAGGAAGCTGCCATCCATTAATGTGGTTTGTGCAAATCAGAGCGCGCATGGTTGTGTGTTTGTGTGTGTGCTTCTCTCCCCATGTCATCCTATCTGGCCCGAGTTCCCAGACCGGATTACATACCTCCCTGATTATGTATTTGTCTCCAGGGCTATGCCAAAAACATAAAGCATCGAATCTTGACATTTGAGCCCTGGCTGAGACCGCCTTCCCTTTTGAGTTTTTGCTGAGAGGTAGCATCACAGATGATGTGACTTCTAAAATTCACCTTCTACCCTTACACCGTAAACAGCAGGGTCTGTGAGCGGGGAATCCTCATGAGGTCACATTGCTTCCCAGTGATTGTGCAAAAAAGAGAAAACCAGAGTGATTTCCGGGTAGAGTGAGCATAGTGAACAATTAGCTGGTGAGTTGCTCTAAATGCTATTTAAAGCCTTGCAAATCAAGCTTTTTTCTTTTTATGATTTTTTAAATCTGTTTTTTTTCCTTTTTTTTTTGAAACAGGGTTTCTCTGGGTAGCCCTTGCTGTCCTGGACTCACTTTTTAGATCAGGCTGGCCTCTAACTCACAGAGATCTACTGGCCCTGCAGCATCATGCCTGGGTTTTTTCTTCTTTCTCTTTCTCTCTTTCTTTCTTTCTTTTTCTTTCTTTCTTTCTTTCTTTTTTTCTTTCTTCCTCCCTTCTTTACTTCCTTCTTCCCTTCTTCCCTCCCGTCCCCCTCCCCCTTCCCTTCTTTCCTTTCTTTCTTTCTTTCACCAGGTGAAGTAAAACTTTCTTCTTGCTTCTGGGGCACCCACATAACATTTGAAAAAAAAAAAAACTGAAAAACTCCTCAGTGACAACAAAGTGCCAAGCACTGTGCCCAGCACTAGAGCTATGAAAAGACTCATGGCAAATGCAAACTTAATGGGGAGGCCAACTAGGATGTTGGGTGTTAAGAAAACCTGTTGCCACGGGTAACATATAAGGTGTCAGAGGTCCCTTACCTCTTCTAGAAGTTTTCAGAAGGACAGGACTATCACCTCAAAGCTGACATGAACAGATGTAGCCCAGTGACTTGGAGCAGAGGAGGTGGAGCTGGGGAGGAATGGGGGGAAGCATAGCAAGGGGCAGGAGCCAAGGTCTAGGAGCAGGAGAGTTTCTGGCAGTCCCAGAAAGCAGAGTTCAAGGCGAAGAGCTCAGAAGAAAGAAGGGAGTGGGTGGGAAGTGGAGTTAGCAATGTGAGTAACCACAAGAGCATTAAATATTTCCTAAGTCACAGGAGAGCTGAGCTGAGGACATTGGTATATGTCATCAGGATATGGCATATTGACACTTCCTCTGAGCTGAGGAATACTAGGGCAAAATTAGTGAAAATCAACAGGAACAAAAGAGTACTGCTGCAAAAGGGGCATGGGAGCATGGTGCGGGAGGTGGGACTGGGCCCAGGGCAGTGAGTGTGAGACCAGAAGGTGGAGCTTCTTATGGTCAATGAAATTTCAGAATTTAGTTGCGACTCAATCCCGCTAATAATAACCCAATAACCCTTTTCAATACGTATCTTTCTCTCCTAATAATTTAGGGTATAATTCTGTTATCAGAAATCAAGATTCAAGCTAATGGACACACACACACACACACACACAGAGAGAGAGAGAGAGAGAGAGAGAGAGAGAGAGAGAGACAGAGAGACAGAGAGAGAGAGACAGAGAGACAGAGAGAGACAGAGACACAGAGAGAGATTGTATTTTAGACTTTTGTTTTTCTGTTGTGCCCACTCCACGCCTGGTGGCTATGTTCCAGGGCTGACCATTGCTATCCTTGCTTTCAGACCGTGCTTCTCTTAGTCATGGGGCTGGTCCCCAGAGTGCCAAGCAGGTGTTCACACAACAATCAGCTCTAGAGATGAGAAACCACAAGGTTACACAACAGATCATTCTTTACAGAGAGGAAATCTCTTCAAAGGCAATGTTGCAGCTAAGACAACAGCCAAGAAGAGCCTATCAAGGTAACTCCAACACACAACCAAGGCCTTGGAATGAAATGATGCTGAGCTAGAGACTCGGAGAAGAGTATTAGGAGGAGCCTTGTGAACCATAGTGTGGCAGCTTAGAGACCAGGACATGTGGATGTTAAAGTCACTTCCTTAACAACTAGACATTGGCAGACCCACCCACAAGTTGAAAGAAATGGTCTGCTTTGAGCTATGACATTCCTGTGTGATTGCTACAAATTGTTATTGTGAGATTTCTACGTCCTACCCCCAACTGATAGAGCCTTCGCTGTAATACATTTCAGTGGGAAAGCAAAGCAGATGGCCTACATAAGAAGTCTTAATTAGAGCAATGATTATAGCCCATGTCCAGGCTGCTAGGTTTGCCCAGGCCACCAGGTGTTGGTCTATAATCCTGTCCTATTCTGGAAAGAAGAGGAAAATGAAGCTGCAGAACTTTCCACTTAGAGGAACACACCCAAAACAAAGAGGACCTGTGGGCCAGGTGCCCCACCAGTAATTAATTCAACTCTTTAATTATGAAAGTGTTTAGGAAACTGAAGTAATGAGATGATCAGCCTTGGGGATGTCTATGCTCCCAGGACCGTTCTGCCATTGCCAAGTCTCCTGTGCCAGCTGGGAAGGAATGTAAGCATCTAGAGGAAGGAGATAGTTCTGTGTGTTAAGCGCTTGCCACATAAGTATGCAAACCTCCGTTTCTATCCCTAGATGCCACATAAAAGCTAAACGCAGTAATACAGGCGTCTGTAATCCTCATGCTCCCGTGGGAAGATGGGCGACGGAGACAAGAATCCTGGGAAATGTGAAGTACAGCCTGCTATATGCAGCAGGGAGACCTGTGGCAAACGGTGGAAATGGATGACCAGCACCCATAATAATCCTCTAGCCTCCACATTCCACACGCATACCACACAAACACCCCGAACGTACACACACACACACACACACACACACACACACAGAGGATTTACAGAGAGACCGTTGTGGGTGTGAGACTGGCTTCCACTTCCTACTGTGACCTCAGGGATAATACATCTCAGCCTCAGTTTTCCAAGTCTATAAACTGGGGGTCATTACAGATGAGGGAAATCCCAGGACACTGGGTAAACGTTGTTGCTTACATTTTGTTGGCTTCTTGGCTCCATCAGTCTCTCCTATTCGGTGAAATACCGGGTTTTATAGCCTCCAACTATCCCACTGGTTATTTCTTCTGCAGCCATCACCTTCCTCTGGAAGAGAGAGCAGACTATGTACTTGGCTTCGTTTTATCACACCAAAGGATGGCTGTTAATCAAGGCATGCTATAAAGAAAACCATGAGATTGTCTTCATGATGAAAGACTTACCTAAAGGCTGCTGTTTGTTTTTGAAGTGCTGTTAGTGTCTAGCAAAATTTAAAAATACAAAACAAGATGTGGGCTGAATACATGGAGGTTGAGGAGGAGCTTTCTTGGAGCTGTTAATTTATGTATGGCTCATATAACATGTTACATCACGCTGTTTTGAAAACAGTATCATAGTACCATTAAATTTAATCTTCTGGTCCAATGACATTATCATATCCAAGTCAAGAATACTTGTTCCTGTGAAGGTATATTAGTGGCTAGAAACTTAAATAATCATTTTTATTTGGATAAATTTCAACATTAACACCCCCTACTTTGTCCATGTTTTGTGGAATCTTAACATTCAGAAGCCACAGGAAACTGAGTGGTCTTGAAAGAATATGGGCATGGACCCACTTGGTAATTAGGTGCTAGCCTTTATAGGACTTGAGTCAGTTTTGTAGCAGACTCGGGAACTGAGAAGTCTGCCATTTGAGTACCAGCTCCGCCTCTTACCAGATATTTGATCTCAGTACAAACCGTGTTGTCTCGAAACCTCAGTTTCCTTCTCTGTAAGACGTGAGAAACAACAATGAGATCCACCTTATAAGCTGTCGTTAGACTTGAACACCAGGACAGTGCTCAGAGTAGGCCCTGCCACACAGGAAGAGGTCAGGAAAATAAGCCATCAACCACTGTCAACTGTGCTGCCTTTGGCAGGTCACTCCAAGCAGCCTGGACTCTAAACACTTCACCTGTAAAACACAGGCCTCCTTCCTGGCCCCCCTTCATGCTCTGCCCCCCTCTCCCTTTCTCCTTTATGCAAAGTCTTTCTGCAAAGCCTGGAATAGCCTTGAACTCATAATCCTTCTGCCTCAGGCTCTTTCATACCAGCAAAATACAGGCTTTGGATGAGAATCGGTATTTTCTAAATTTAATTATTCTTATATGGCTTTTAAATTGGTTATGGGATCTTTAGATAAGTTAATACATGAAGTGGTCTTAGCATACCTATGCTACCAACATAAACAAGTATCCCATATTTTAGCAAATAGGAATGTATACCATCTCAGAGTTCTGTTTTGTCTCCCATGTCTCTAGGCAGGCAGTCCAGGATATTTGGCTAATTCTCTAACAGAGAGGTGATGGATTTGCCTGAGATCTTTTTTCTTCCCATAAAACTGTTAGAATCCTGTCTCCCTTTAAGGGCTTCCCAAGTGCGGTAAGAGCTAGAATAGGTAACGTATCTATATTTGAGCAGCTTTCAATATTCCAACACCGCACAGCAGAAGATCCTATGGAGTAACTTGTAGTCATGCAGCGAGTTAGCCTGAGCAGAGAATCCATGCGATCCAAATGCTGACTGCTAATTCTCCCTTGCTTAAGCGAAACCACAAGGGAAGGGAGAATCATTTCTCATGCTACAGTTTTCCCACCAAGAACACTGAAGAAAATTAGACATAATGTGAATCCCATATGAGCAAATATATCATTAATTCGTTTGGATATGCATTTATATCCTAAGTCTCTCTGGTACTATATTTGAATCCTTTTCTATCTCAGACGCAGGCTCTGGCTCTAAATCTCCACACATTTGCACTGTGTTGATATCCAAAACAAGCATAATTCCCTGAAGCCTGTGGAATTTTTGCCCCAGAAGAAGTTCCAGGAGAAGAGAAACCCTGTGTCCTGAGATTGGCAACGGGCTACACAGGTGAGTTCGCGTGGCAAACAGACACAGCCTTGTGCTGGGAGACGTTCAAGATGACGGACCAAGGGTTTCAACTCCTCAAGCAGAACTACCGTGTGCTTAATTATGTCTCACATGAGAAAGTTTATTTATTTATTTTAATGACGGTGAACTAGTAATTATGCTCTTGGACTCAGCGCAGCAAATGTTAATGGACTATGCCTCTGAGCTTGGCTGGGAGCAGGTTCTGCTCTGTAGTCAGTAAGTTCTCGTGTCAGAGCGCGACTATATAGGTGGATGAACAAATTCCACCCAAGGCAACACTGGGGGTGAGGAGGGCAAGGCCAAGTGCACTGGGCTTTTGTTCTGCTTGAAACGAAGATTCCGGAGCTGCCTGTGTGCTGCTTTGGTTTCTATTATTGGGGGAAGGGGCAACAATTTTCTACTCAGAGATTCCCTACTGTCCCAGAATCCATTGCATGCCTCTCATAATGTATTTGTCATTTTCATGTTTGCAGTCTGTCTATTTCCAAATAAAGTAGTAATGTTTTAGAGGAAGCACAATGTAGTCATGAATTGCTTGGTCACAGGGACAAATTCTAAGACGATGCTGTTGTGTGGCCACCACAGATTGTGTCTACACGAAGCTGTACGGTACGGTTCACCACACATCCACTAGACGGGGTGCACTTCATATTTGTGGTTCATCTCTAGCAAACACCATGTGTGGTGCAGGGCTGTGGAGGTGAGAGGTCACTGATTCAGAACCCACACAGTTAACCCTGTCATTCTACTGGGCTGTGGCTGGTTGTTGAGATGTCTAACACCCTTCTCCAAGGTCTTCTTTCTAAACCAAATCCATCTTTCTGGCCTAGTTCATTATTAGCCCAGACACATTTTAATTTTTTAATTTTAATTTTTTAATCTTTTAATCCTTTGTATTGTCTTTTTCATTTTATCATTTTTCTTTCTGACGTTTCCCTTTTTTTCCTCCCACCTGTCTCGCCCTGGGTGATGAGACTGGGACACACTCCCGGTAATATCAGTTTCCCACCTGATTCTGATCTTCAGAGAAAGCTCTGTCACCTCAGAAGAGATCCTACTTTGCCTAAGTCAAGCATGACCTGTCTGTATTTATTATGCCCAAACAATCCCACTAGATATGAGACTAGCAAAAATTTTATATGTACTGTAGCTACATATGACATGCATTATTTATGAAAAACATTATCATGCCGGGCACCATCCTAAGTTCTTAGCATGTAATAAGTCCCCCATGCTTATACATTTATGGAAAGACCCGCTCTGCAAAGCTTTGCCACTTCTATTTTTTATGAAACACTGTCATATTCTTTGAAATTTACATAGGTGTGTGCAGTGTATTTAGGTCATATTTGTCCTCTACCTTCACCTCCCTCTGTCACTCTCTCCAGCTAATCTTCCTGCCTGCCTTAAATCCTTATTTGCTTATTTATTTTTTTACACACATACAGTCCATGGAATCCACTATCATTACCCAATGCAAATTTTAAATTAATTTATTGATATCTAACAAATCCTTCAATTTTCTTATTACTATTCTTTACCCACTGGAATATAAACTTACTGATATGTCTCTAATGTCTAGGATAGTCTTTGACACATAGCAGGGCTTTAATAAATAAGTCTTTAATTATAGAACTGTTTAATGACTGAAGCTCAAAAGATGGCTCAGAAGACCAGGTTCAGTTCCCAGCACCCACACAGCAGCTAGCTCTAGTTCCAGTTCCAGGGGATCTGATGCCCTCTTCTGGCCTCAGTGGGTACCAGGCATGCACAGACATACATGCAGGAAAACTACACACATAAAATAAAAATAAATAAATTTAATGAAAATGACTCTTTAAAAACTGATTAATGAATTACATTAAATATCTCTTGAATTCCACAAGGTCCTCTAGCCCATCTGGCAGGACCCGCATTGGTGCAAAGGTAAAATGTTTGCTTCCCCCAGAGGCCTTTTAAATGAAGGCTCGATTTTCACATCTGTGCTCCTGCCCAACAACAGAGGACTAGATCAAATGACCTCCTGAGAGCTCTCTGGCCCTTGACATTCTAATTCAATTCCACTTAAATGTCCTAAAAGTAATTTGTGGAGAAATTCTTTTCTTCCTCCTTTCTGGACGGGAGTTTGCATTTATCTAATTATTTCCTTGGTAGATTGACCCAGCTTGAAAGAAGCACCAGGTCATCTCCCCTGGACATGCTCTAAACCCTCACTCTATAAACCGGGAAGGCTAAAGACTCAGCTCTCTAGGGAATTAAATTGCATTCGAATAAGATTAAGGCTTTTTGACTCACAAAAGCAAGGACAATCAGAGGCTAACCAAGCCAAAGCAATTGTTCAGCAAACTAATCCAGACATGTTATTCACAAAGGACTCTCACAACTGGTTGGCAAAGAAAAAAAGTGTCCAGAAAGGAATGCTGGGCTGAACTGGGCTGGACTGAGTTAGAGGAGAGTTCTTTCTTCAGATCTGAAACCTTGTCCCTCTCCTCCAAGGTGCTGAATGTGTCCTTCCTCCGTTCTGCTGACTGATGGCCCAATACCTCCCAGTGACCTCAGTGAGAACCGGTAATGGGCAAGGAGGATGTTCGCCATCTGCAATGTTGGGCGAGTGGAGAGCCAATTGGAAAACAATGTCACCAAGGGTCAAAGGATGTGCTTGTGTGTCACTCCTTGATTTGAAGCATGGTATTTTGATTGCTTACAGAATAAAGATTCCTTCTTAAAAACACTATTTTTGGATAATAAAATAAAGAGCATAAAATTGCAAAGAAAACTAATTCCACTAAAATCGATGTAACAAAATACCCCCCCTCAAAAAAAAGCAGGTGAGTAGTGCATTTGTATTTATTCATTAACATATTAAGTCGAGGACCAGCAGCAGTTAGTCTTTTAATCAGAGTAATTTTATAGTGGTAACAAGTTTAAATGATAGTTTGAAGCCTTCCAACAAACAGTAGTATGATATAAAAATATGTACAATTGCATACATTTTGTATGAAAAGTACCGATGTCACAGGGAAAGCCTGTGCTACTATGGCTTATTCCCTGCATTCATATTGGAAGAAAATGTTTAATTTTAGGTAAATATGAGTATAAGCAAAGATGGATGTCCCCTTACCATTCAAGTTCATGGATGCCCCCCACCTTCTACCGCAGGTTGGGAACCC